CTGCTTATTTCAAAGGCAGGACTGACAGCAGTTCCTTCAGGTGACTATAGGCAGCTCAGGCTGCTGGGAAAAAGCGGGATAGATTGAATAAATTAATCTTCATTAGTAACACTCAGCAAGAGAAACAAGGGCTTAGAGAGAAGGGACCAGGAGACAAGTGAAATGGAATTCAAGACTTTTATTTTATTAGCTGCATAGGGCTCCGTGCTTTTTACAATAAATGAGCTAATTAGAAGTTGGGTATACACAGTGGGAGAATAGGGAAGAGTGAAAGAGCTGAGATTTCACTTTGGTGTTGATTTCGTATAATCTAAATATAATGTTAGTATTCTGACTAGTTTAAATACTTGATTGCACTTAGCTTGGTAAAATGGTTAGGACTTCACTGTATTGGAGGTGGCCCAACTGGGACAGTCTGTTTGTCAGGCTCAGAAAAGTTCTGTGATGATTTAGCTGGAAAAAGTACCAGAAACTAGTTTGTGTTGCTACACGAATCTTTTACTGTGGTTCAGTATTTGCAGTTATGAGTAGCTTTGGTGATCTCTGCTGTAGCCGTGTTTTGCTGCCATTGTTGACTTGAGGAAACTTCTGGGTGTTGCAGCCCCTGGTTTCAGGGGGGAGGGTGTCCTTGCATCTCTGCACTTGTGAATTCCTAGCTGGTGTCATGGCCCTGTGGGCAATGACCAGCCAGCACAGAGACATCACCTGTGGTTTTCTTCTGTCCTGATCCAAAGACGGACCCGAGATCAGGCTCACCTGAGTGGGCCTGGAGCTATTTCTGCTTCTGATCACTTTGCCTAGTAGCCGGTGTGTGTGGGACAAGATCCAGCGTGATACACATTGCAGTTCTTCCATGGAAAAAGCAACACATACCCCCATTAACCATTGAGTTGCTTGGGAGCAGGCAGTAATTCATCCTTATACTGAGGTATTCTGGGGATATTGGAACTTCTAGTCTTCCAGAGCCACTTTTCTGGGGGATAGGCATATTTGCATACTTCCTAATTCCCTGCTTATTCCAAAAATAGATCTATATTTTATATTACTGCACGCTTAACTTAATTTGAACTTTTATTTTGCTTACATAGTAATGAAATCAGTTTACATAATAATTCTCTTGTTCCCTTGACAGTCCTTATTGCCTAGACATGCTGTTTTTTGTTACCTTACATGAACCATTAATTGGAATCTGATGTTCTTGGCAGGAGTACAGTCGCAAATGACAGTGTCATACATCTGTGCTTACTGTGGGGGGAGTGTCTCAATTTTAAAATGTGAGCAGAACCTCCAAATAAAATCAGTCTTAGAAAACAATTTCGGATATAGTCTGTTGTTGCAATATACAGGAAAATAAACAGTTCTTCGAAAAGTAATTTTCCCAGAATATCACTGGGAGTCTCTTTTTAGATGCCTAGGCATTAATATTTTCTAGATTATTCTCTACACTTTTTTGAGGCAAATTACCAGCTTATGCTTTTCAGTTGACAGCACTGAGTGCGACAGGGTCCTGCTCCGTGGCCAGGCCTCCAGGATATAACAGTAATAGAAACAGATATCCACAGAGCTGCTGCGCCAGCGTTCACATTTTTACTCTTCATTTCATCTGAGTACAAAACAACATCATGGTTATTGTTGAAAACAAGGCTTTCGTCATTTAGCTGCAAAATGTAGGGAAGTTTCCTCCTCACAAAGAAAAAAATCCATTAATGGCAGAAGATTCATACTGATGGATGACAGTGCAAGGTTTCCCTATCAGGCTTTGCTCCCAACAGGGTTTGACTTGATGGAAAATGGCAGCGTCCTTGTTTCAGACCTGTAATCTTCTGTTTGGGGGTGGTGGTATTTCAGTCATTAAAAAAATCCTCAGTTTGTCCTAGTTTTCATAAACAACCGAAGCAGACTGAGAGCTGAGAAATGTCAGCCCCTGGACCTGATGGCCATGGTAGCTGCCGAGATGGTCACGAGTGCCCAGAGATCAGATGTCACTTGGGATGCTGAAGCCATAGTCTGATGTATGTTTTAATCCAGTGCTGTTCTCAAAAGAAGGAATTTGGTCATCTCCCTGGCTTGGTCACCTTCCCCTTTCCCTGCTCTGCTCACTCCCTGTCCCAGCTCATCTTGTCTTTTAGCGTCACAGCAAGTTGGACTGGGGCTGTCCTCTGCTCAGGGTATGCATGGCCATGTACACGCGATAGCCGGAACCTGTCTCTCTCTTCATCCATTTCATGCATCTCTTGGTGAACACCTTACTAGCCTCTTTTAAAAGCGACCATAGGTCTTCCTTGCCGCGAGCCCACCCACTGGTGTCCTGCTTGCTGTCTTTGAAAAGCTGAGCAGTCTTACCCTTTCTCCAAAGGCCCATTAGAGATGCTTTCATGGAAGAGATGTAGCTGCTGCCATTTACACAGTGATTTCAGTGCCTGCAAAATCCAAAGACCTGGAGATGAAACCAAGAGCCAACACAACCTAGAGTTGAGATAGGACGGGGGGAATATCAGAAAGAGTTTGTGAATTCCTTCTAGAGAAGTTAAAATTTTAGTTTTGGGTGAGCAGTAGTATTCAGGTGCCTTGGGGGCCCTCCCTGCATTGCTGATGGCCGGGGAGCCTGCGCTGCTGGAGGAGGTTTCCAAACATGAATCCCCGGGTCTTGCTCCTGAGTTGTAAACATGCTGTTAGCTTCTTGGAGGAAGTACTAAAAGCAGAATCAGACTGCAAGCAGTCCAGACAAAATGCCTACATGTTGCTTTAACGGCTGTACAGAGATAAATGAAGTGGGCATCGAGGCTTTATCGTCACACCTGGTGTTAAACCTCATTTGTTTTAAGAAAAGGCCAAAAAATGCAGACACCACGCTAGGGCTGCCTTCAGAGGATGTTTGCCATTGTTTTCCTTGCTGCGCATTCATCTTTCTAGCATCTGTCTTGGATTGACTGCCTCAGAAAAGGCATTTACAAGTAGAATTGAAGAGTAGTGTACTTAAAAGCCAAATATGGGTGTTTGTTGTAAAGCAGCCGATAGATAGTTGGCACAACACCAAAAGGTCCAGACACTAATCTAATTGTTTACAGCTCATGGAGAGATTAATCCACAAGATTGGATGCCCTCATTTCCTTTACGCATGACAATGAATGTGTGAGGTGCCAAACCCCATGGGGCAGCAGCAGAAAGAAAAATGGCTCCCTTTCAGTGCAGTTATTGTTTCAAGTTTAGAAATATATTGATTCTCTTTGGGGTTTGATAAGAATATAAATGCAAAGTGCTTTGCTTAATATCAGAGTATTCTTGTTTCCTAGCCTCAGTAAAACAAAATCGTGCTTTCTTATTTTAGTGTAATATAATGCTCTGCAAAATTCAGATCAAACATATGAAATAAAATGTATCGAATACACAGTGAAAATGGTCAGGATACACTTGCTGGCTTGTGAGGGCAAGCAAATGCACCACAACTCTGAAACATGGGCAAACCTACCCGCAGATGTCCAGGCTGGTGAGCTCTGAAAATCTTGGCTGCTGTAAGATGCTGTGCATTGGAACAGAAGCTCCGCAAAGGGAAAAAAGCAACTCCAGTATTGCTTAGGTGACCGGTGAGAATAAAACAAACACTGCTGAGTGGCTGTTGCAAGCAGGATTTCTGTGAAATAGGCTTTCTCTGAACTGAAAGTGGAGGTCAGGAGCAAACAGTACTGTGGGGCTATATAAGCCTTGAAGAGCAAATGATTCAATGAGACGAAAATGTGGCTAATCTGCAGGGTATGCTCCTGCCTCCCTCTGCCCCCCCGCATTGGTGTGGCAGAAACGCGGGAGCACAGCCGTGCCGGGACATGCTGGCCCTGCTGCCAGGCACCGAGGGTAGCGCTGGGCAGTGCGCTTTGCCCTGGAAAAAGGGGATGTTTTGTCCTCGTGATACTGGTCACGCTGCTAGTGATCCTGAAAGGAGTCGTCCCTTCTGCTGGCAAGGAAAATTACCGTGACTTTGGCCAGAAGCAAGATTTGGGAATGCTACCTGGAGACCAGAAAAATAACACCTTGGTCTTGCAGACCTGTTAACCTCTGACTTACTGGCTGAAACCAAAAAGTTTTCATGAGCAAAGTGTGTGTGCATGTTTGCAAGCTAGTGGGCCTGTGAGCTGTTTACTGGTGATCACGATATTTTGTTGATGAAATTTTGCTACAGTTGCAAAGAATTTTCAAAAAGCTGAGGGGATTGAGATATATTTATTCCGATGTTGCAATACCTGGCACATTTGGGGAAGAAAATTAATATCCTGAACTAGTCTTTGCAGTGTTTCTAATTCCTTGACTAAGCACGTCCTCATGTATCATTTTACTTCACCAGCTTTTGGGAAGAAGAGAATGTTTTGCTAGTCAGGACTTGTTTTGACTTAGTTTTTAATAATATCAGTCAGCACCATGTTGCCTGAAAGTCTGAATCTGACAAAAGTTTAGTTTTAAATGGGCTGCTTTTATGAGGTCATGTGTAGACTCATTGCTCCTGAATCAAGATCATAAATGTGTAATTTTAATAACATTCAGTGAGAATAAGCATTTGCATATCCTTGGAGAAATTGTTCTCTGCTGCATAGTTCAGCTATTTCAACCATGATGTGGAGGGGGCATTTCAAGATTTGCACGTCACTTAAAAGATTGTACTTTGCAAGGGAGGGTATAGAAAGAAATAGTGCAAGTAATTATTTTTTCTCTGTAGTGCAGTACTTCTCCTAAGGTAGAGAGTGACAGTACCAAGAATATCCAAAGCCAGGATTTCTGTGGTGCAAAAAACAGTTCGGTTGTTGAGTTGAAAGCTGGTCATCGCTGTACGTGAAAGCTAAATGAGGGACTGATGAGAGAGAGGTAACTGTACACACAGGGTTTCAGTCCTCTGCTTCCCGATTACTTTTTGTATTTTGGATGTCTCATAGAGCAGTCAGCGTAGGAGGGTCTTGATAAAAGGTTGCTACGAATTGCCATTCTGTCTGTCAGAACCGGTGTTTCTTCTGCAGGGAGTGGAGCGCATTGACCTGCCGGGGCTCAGGAGCCTGCGCACTGCCCGGAGCCTGGAGCAGGGCATGGTGCTGACCATCGAGCCGGGCATCTACTTCATCGACCACCTCTTGGACCAAGCCCTCCGTGATCCTGCGCAGTCCTGTTTCATCAACAACGACGTCCTGCAGCGCTTTAGAGGATTTGGTGGGGTGAGTAACTCCTAACCGGATGGCTCTCTGAAATTGGTTTTCTGTTTGTTTGCCTTTACTGTGTACTTGAGAAGAAATCTTTTGGAAGTTGTAAAGTATTGCACATAGGGCTGTTCCTGAAGCAGCACCTTGGGCCATTTGACTCTGAAGACAAACTGGAGGTTTTTTTGTTATTTCTGAATGCGGTTTTATACTTGTGATATCTGATTAACGGTAGACCCATATTTTTCCATTGATTGAAATACCTTCTGTCAGCACTGTACAGTGACTTGCTAGGTAGGTGTTTTGTCTAATGTGTGAAACGTGTATGTTATGAAATATGAGACTGAGATCCATATTCCAGAGTTAGCTTCCTTTACAGCAGCACAGTCCGGTGCTCCCTCCCAGGGCAGAAGAGCCTGATGCTGTTTAAGTCAGGGAGGCAGTAGAGAAGAACAGCAATAATTGCTCTTACTGGACTATTGCCAGAATGGCGCAAAACTTGTGAATGTAAAGCCTTCCATGTTCTCCAAGGGAATGGCCGATGGTCTTCACGAGCACCCGTGTTGGAGGTATCGCATTGCAGGCTCAGGCAGCAGTGTGCGCACAGGAAGATTGGCTGACTCGGGAGGTAGCCATGATCTGGGCGATCGTTCCCATGCAGGCAGCTGCTGTGCAAGGGGCCTTGTTTCTCCATGCTCTCCAGGGCACATTTCCCATTCAAAGCCACCACCCTCGCAGAGTGTTTAGCAGTTGCAGTGGCTTCCAGTGGGTTTTCATTTTAGCAGGGCAAGCATTTGAAGGGTGCCGCATTGTTCTCTGAGCTTCCGTATTCATGCACAGAGAAGATAGAGCAGGCAGCTGCAATGCCCCGTCCTCCTCGTGGCTTTTCTGCTAAGTCTCAACAAAGTTAACAATCACTGGCAATGGCGGTGATTTTCTGGTATGAAAAGTCACTCATTAGGAATTGTGTGCTGCTGCCATCGACTAATTTATCGCTGTACACCAGCCATGAGAGGGTAATTACTGTAACACTTTTGGTCTGAGCTGGCTTTGAACCACCAACCCCGACAGAAAAGTTATGTGTGCCATCACCAGTTGTGTGAGCCAGCCAGGCTCCTGGGCAGCCGCCCGTGGAGGCTCCCCATACGATGTGTGTGCAGCCTTATCGAGAGATGCGGGACTTTACCCTCTCTGGTATTTAATTCACTGCTGAGGTTTGGGGCGTTATCTGTCTCTGTGTTGTTTCTTTATCAAGACTTGCCAGCCAGCCAGCCAACTGAGAAACTGGTGAATGAAAGGCAGCTAACTCTGCATTTTCTAACTGTGAGCACATTATATATGGCACCGCATGCTGAAGTGTATTTTAAAGGAACGCTGTAATGCACTTGTGTAGCTTGACACCGCCACGAAAACAGGTTTAACTATCTTCACTTTCCTTGTAAACACTCTGTGGGAGTTTTTCGGCAGTTGAATTGATTCCTGGTGAGCTTTCTCTGGAAACGCTCAGCAAAGCCCATGTTTTTCCATGACTTGCTTGAGGCATGCACGTGGCTCACCTGCTGCCTGTGTTTGCGTGGAATAGGAGTGACAGCACAGGATCTCTACCTTGGTAGTAAATTGCTGGATCAGGCACTTTTGTTCCAGAGATTTCAAGCAAAGTCTAACTTTCTCCCCTGTTTTTTGCTTAGCTTCCTGTAATGATGACTTGTAAGGAGAGCTAGCCAACAAACTTTGCTAGAAGGGGAAGCTGCCCAAAAACGATTGAGCAAAAATCTAAATCTCCAATCCCCCTGTGAACAATACATTTTACTTAGAGAGAAAAAAAAAATAATACACACATACCCTGAGCCAGATGTTGTCACTTGATTTTGTCCAGGAGAAGAATGGAAATAAAATCTGAGACTGAAGTACATCCGAGTATTTCTGAATTCTACAAAAAAGCTGAATTATAATGCAATCAAAATGAATTTTTCCATCTTTACAATTCTGACTTGATTCTGCATTAATAGAAGATGTAATTTGTGCTGTGTAGTGTGCTTAGTTATCTGCATGCTGGTTCATTCTAGTTTATCCAGAATGAGTGAGTATTTCTCTCAAAAGCATGTCAGAAAACTTTCTCTCTACATGATTAAAAAAGATGCTGTGAAGCCCAGTGTTTTTACTGACAAATATTAATAGTACAGGGGTTAATATTGGTGTCAGTTCTAGCTAAAGACCTCACTACAGCCAGTCCAATCTTCCTTTATGTTTAAAAGAAAAATACATTCTACGGAAGGAAATAAGTAGTCCATTTCCCTCTGCAGAGCTCAGCACTAATTAAAATGTTCTTAATTTGGTTTAGTTTAATTCACTTCAAAAATGAACTTACATTAACCAAAGTAACACCACTGTAATTCTGAGTAAGACTGTCCGCACAGAGGATTTGTGGATTTTAATGAATTCACCTTGAATTCAGGTCTTTTTTGGGCTTTGGATAATTTTCTTGACTGTGACAAGTCTCTGCACTGAGAAGAGAAGCTCTTTTGCTGTGCCAAAAAGGGCAAGATTGTAGCCATTTATTGTAATTCATGCAGCCTGGTATTAGCCATAAAGAGATTGTAAAAGCTGCAAGAGCAGGAAAGAATGAGAGACAACACAAGATTTTCCTTCGCCCATTCTGCATTGCTGCCGGCGTGCGGGGCGTGTGCTGGCGGCACCGGCGCAGCTCCTGCGCGCGCTCAGAACAGGTCTGTTGGCAGCCCAGCCTTCCTGCATCCCTGTAACACAGATACCCAGCCTTCATGGCTGTAACTGCTGCTCAGGGACCTCATAATTTGGGCTTTTACCAAACAAGAGCTGTTCTGGGTCAAATAACAGATCCCTCTGGAGGGAGGCAAGAAGTTTTGCTAGGGGATCAGCCTCTGAGAGCACAGGCTGCCCTGCCTGAAGCCCTAAACTCTTTACTTGACAGCCGTTGAGTTCAGTCCTTCACAAGCTTCCTCGGCCAATTTTGGGAAGTCACTCAGTCACATGTACTTCAGTTCTCCATCTGCAAAACTAAGGTCTGATTTACCGAGGTCATGAATTCTGTGGGGCAAGGGCTGCCATCAGGTGCTGGCGCAGTGCCCATTCCAGTGCACTTCTGCTCTGCCTGGACTCTGCCCTCACCGCTCTCATAAATAAACATAGATGTGCAAATAGAGGTATGTGTATACGGTTGTATTTATTGCTCAGGAAAAGCAGCCGATTCCTCAGGGAAGGGGAAATACTGACTCCAAATGCTGCCCTTTAGGTTTTGACATTTCCATTCTTCATAAGCCGATTACTGATTCATGCAGTTCATATGATGTTTTCTCAAAGACCCAGTAAAACGGTTCAATCTTTTTTTGGCCTTAAATATTCAGTCTCTGTTCAGGCTTTCTTTTTCCCTAGGATTTGTAGAACTAGCACTAGACTTAATATGTGAAAACTCTATGCAACTTAGAGAAAATGCTGAAAGACAGCTAAATGTTAAATACGTTACTTTCTTTCATTTGCAGATTTTTCTCATTTAAAAGTTAAATAGATTTACAAAGCCCAGGATCTTGGAGATCCACTAACATTACAATATTTTTCAAAACAATAGTACTTCCCTTACTCGGGAACAAATGTTAAACCAAATAAAAAGCAGGATATTTAATTGCTTCTACCTTTGGTTCACAGAGCCATGCAGTTGTCTCTATCCTGATTTTTATTTTTCAGAAAGTTGAGCTCTGTTTCTGGGTTTATGGTGAATGTGTGTTGTGGAATGAAATAGTTCACTAGGCTATAAACACTATGCTCATCTGCTTTTTAACATTTCGTATTATGCAGCAGTAATAATGCTACACAGCATCGTTTTGAACCGGTTTCGTAGAAAAGTAGTTGTCATAATGAAATATATAGCTTTCTTTAAAGTTCTTGTAAGAGAAGTGATAGTTGTAGGCAACGCAAAAACAGCAACTAGTTGCTTATAAACCTTCTTTAACCCTTTTCTCTTAAGTTGTCTGATTAACATAATTAGGTTAAAGTAAGAGCAGTTATTTCTAACCTGTATTTAGCTTACAGTTTATTGCATCTTTTTGAGCCTGGATGAAGGGACTGTGTGCCTGAAGCTTCTTTTTCTAGTTGTATCAGTTGATCTAATAAAATACATGGCCTCACCCTCCTAATCTTGATCCTGTTTTATAAAATGTTTATATGTGGACCTTTAAAATAAAGTGCGCCTGACATGAGGACTTACTTGTGAGTAAGAAGAGGGACTGGCAGCATGGGATGAGAAAGTCATTGTGTAGCACAGAGCCTGTTAGCCTCTATAGAAAAGATCTTGGCGTTGCCTCTTTGTGTAACATGGTAACAGGAAAGTGCCTTCCCCAACCCTGCAACGTTAACCGCCTGTCCCTGGGTTTGACATAAGGGCAGCTCTATTTCCTAATCAGTCCCCCTGAAATACAGAAGTTGAACCCTGCTTGTGGTAAGTTTGCTCTATTAAAAATTATTGGTGAGTTGATGGCTGAGTCGAAATAAGTCCCCTTGGCTACATGCATCTGCCTCTGTAGGATACCAGCTATAAAAACAGACACGTGGATCCTTCAGCTGGACAGAAGCACGTGTGCTAATTTACTTTGTGGGGTAACATGTGTGGCCCACGTCCTGTCATCGTTTCCCAGGCGAGTCTCCTGCTCTAAGATCTTGCAGCGATAGTATTGCTGCTTTCCACAGCCATAATCAAACAAATGCTCAATAGATTAAAAAAAAAGGAGACGTGTCACCAGTAGTCTTTTTTAATCACATCTGGGATCTGTCATCATGCAAATCTGGACTATTTAATTGGCCAAAATTGTTTCTTGATTCTCAAAAGCCTTTTATATATATCATCATCCAATAGAAATGAATGAGTGCTACAACCCCCTTCCCTTGGAAGATAACACAGGAGGCTCTGGGGAGCATGACTGTATTAGTAAGTCAGGACAAAGTGCGAGGCTGTATATATAGCTGACAGCAGCCCTGGTATTTAACTCCTATGCTGTCCTTGGCTATGCCCGCACAGCCCTGCTTTGGGACAGAGTTGGGTCCATTGAGTCGAGCCACATGATGGTCTGTTGCTGGCATTAGGCAGTTATGCAATCAGGTCCATCTAGACAGATCATGCCACTACCCTTGATAAGAAAAAGGCATTTTAGGGACAGTCCTGGCATTCCCGGCCACTTCACCTTTGCAGGAGTGCTTTTTGAAGCATGCTATTCCACATCAAAAAAGCAAAGCCGCTCCTGGGGTGTATGCAGAGCGCCCTGAAAGCTGCTGGTGCAGCGAACCTCACACCTCGGTTTGCTGTTCCTTTAAGCCGTGTCCGATTCCAAACCACTCTGTAACCCTGAAACAAGCAGCACTGTTGAACAAAGAGCCTGCAAACAGGGACAGCTCTGACAGAAAGTTTCATAACCACTGTCCCCCACTGGGAAACGCAGTCCCAAGCCAGTGAGCCTTGCCAGGCAGATCCAGCATCTTTTGTCCATTTGGACAGAAGACAAGACCAAATGCCGGGCTCTCCTGTAGGGAAGGTTTTGCAGGTCCTCTGAAGCTGCTCCTTGCTGCTGCTGAGTTTAAACTCAGGGTGAAGCACGGAGGGTGTGAAGGAAAAGAGCAAATGCAAAAATTTCCTCCCCCTTGAGAACCTGTGTTCCTCTGCACTTGTGTTGTTTTTAGGCAAAGGAAAAATGTGCGCTGAGAGTGAGAAGTCCATCTTCTCTGTTATGGCAAGCACCCATTTCAGGTGAGATTCATCCAGGCAGAGAAATCGTTAGATCCTGGAGAAGGAGCTGGAGCTTTCCTGGGAGTGATGGGTGAGGCCCCATGGGAGCGGTGGGTCTGTGCACCTCCAGCTACATCCCAAAGACCATTTGGAGTTGCTGATGGTGAGCAGGCTGGTGCGACGGTGCTGGCTCTCCCGCTTTTCATGGCAATTCACAACTGCGGTTCGATTCTATGATCTCCTAATAACGTTTCTCCTATACAATGAGTTGCTGTGCGTGGCACTCCAAACTGATGGGTTTCCCCATCCTCCCCCGTTTGGTAACTCTCAGTTCCCTGGCTTAGGCGGCTCCAGCACCCCCCTGCGCTCTCCTCATTGAGGGTGTCTCGCTTCTCACCTCCACCGGGATCTCCCTTCCTGGACTCCTTAGCCAGCCCCATCTCTCTTTGTCCATTATTTGTCAATCCTGTCTTGCCTCGCTGTATCTTTCTTCCCTCGGCTCCTTTCATCACTCTAGCTCCATTTTCCAGCTCCTGCCCCATCCTGATTTTCTCTTGTGGCCCAGATGGGGCACAGCATTGACAGACATCTTGTCCCACTTGTCCTTCCTGCTCCCTCTCAGTCTGGCTTTCATCTGCTCTGCTTTCAAGTCAGTCCGTCCTCTCAAAGAGTGCCGAGGTATTGGTGAAGGCATGAAATGCTGAACTGGAAAACACCAACAATTTTTTTCTTTTTTTTCTAATCTTACTGGTTAAGCAGATGAATTGTGGCTGATACTTTTCAGTAGCAGACACACTGGGGAATTTCAGCTCAAGCAGGGGAAGGTTTGTGAAGCCGGCGGTGCTCGGAAGAGGCTCTCTCCATAGGCAGCCAGCTCTAGCTTTGGCTGGCCTCCCCTCTGCTCTTGTAGTAAGCACCAAGTGCTTACTTTTGCACTAGTATTTTTACTTTCCACATCAACGCTGTGCCCAGCTCCATTTACTCTGGTGCGCTTGCCAACGTGATGCTTTGGCTTTTACCATGTCACCAGATCTGTCCCCTGGATTCTGGCACTTTTGCAGGGCTCGCCTGGTACCAGCAGGTTTTTGGCAGGAGCTGGTCCACCGAGGCAGGCTGTGCCCGGGGCCAGGCCCCAGCGGGACAGATGCTAGGGGCTGCTGTGAGGCAGAGGGCATGATTCACCTTTAGATGCAATGCGACCATCTTGCTGAATCCTTGGGTTATTTTTTGCTCAGCTGGCCAAATTCGAAGCAATGAATCAGAAAACCCACCCTGGTAAAATCTGTTCAAGTGCATAGAGTCATTCAATGTGTTGCTGATTTTCTCTTCTGCAGCAAGGCACCGGCCTTTCAGGCACACTGAGTGTAGAGAGCCTCGCGGCTTTCAAATTTACAGCTGTCCAAATCAAATGTGTGAACTCAATGGAGTTTGTTTATTTAATTCTGCTTTATAATACACTTAACTTGATACCAAGTAAAAGAAATAATCTGGCAAAGACATCATTAAACAGTTTAATAAGGACTGGATGACTCATTTTGTTTGAACAAATGGATTATTTTGCAATCAAAAGTACAAATGTTAAGCAGCTTTATTTTTAGTTGAAAATGTCAAGAGGTCAGAAACAATTAAAGCAACTGTAAGGTGGGAGTCCCCAGAGTTTGTGTTCTCTTGGATTTACACCTTACTAAAATTGCTTTTATTGCAGCTTAGTGACTTACTAACATTTTTCTGATAAGATAACGGGAAATGACTGTGTAGGCATATTTACTGGTAAGAAGAGATTAGAGTCAAACAGAAATGGAGCATACTTTTCATTTTAACAGAACAAGAGCTGGAAAACTGAGAGGATCTGCTTTTTCCTTGCATGATTTGAAATGTAGTAATTTATTTTAAAGGGAATGTCTGACCTGCTTAGGACTTTCTCATCAGCTCAAAATTCAATGTTTTGAATATCAGCTACAAGCTTATTTCATGTTGCAGTTCCTCATTTGAAAGTTTATTGTGTTTAGAGAAAAGAGAATGTGACGTTTAAGTGCAAAGAGCAGCTAACTGCAGCTCAGCAACAGGACCACTTCGAGAACAGGCACTTCGGGCATCAGGAGGCACTGTTGTTGAACCTGTCCTTAGCAAGCCATGCGCTAGCAAGGCTGGAGGCAAATTCAGGGGAGAACGTTCCTTTTGCTGCTCCTGATGTCAGGGGATTGAGATTTATTGGCCCCATGTAATTACGCAGTATGAGCTCACTGATGCAGCATCTCGCTCAGCCTGTCCCTGGTGCATCTGACGTAGCAGAGGCACCGCCAGAGTCACCTGCGGGGCCACCACCTCCTGCGGGGCTGCTCTGCCGGGGGTCACCATAGAGCTTGTGTGATCCCAGGAGGGTGGCAGGGGCCGGTGGCTCAAGGAGGGTTGGACTCTACAGAGCTCTGCGCCACGGTGCTGGTGGTGATGGGCAATTCTAGTGCTTGTAGTATGTTGCTCTGCCTAGTGTTGCATCAACACTACAGACTGAAACATGCCTTGTGCTGTCGCTGCTGTTGCTGCCTGATGTGCTTCTCGTCCCCAGCTGGAATACCTTGGTAACCCCGTGTTCTCTGTACAGGTCCGGATCGAGGATGACATCGCAGTGACAGCCAGTGGAATGGAGCTGCTAACGTGCGTCCCACGTACTGTTGAAGAAATAGAGGCTTTCATGGCAGAAGGCCAAAGTAGTGCCAAGTCATTTGACAGCCTCTCCAGCCAAAAGCAGTAAACTTCAGGATGATACTGTCTCACACTAATCAGTCATCGTTCTGATTTAATGCTGCAGCATATAAAATAAAATGCATCCAATTCTTAATAGCAAGAGAGGCAGGCAGGCTATTAGCTGGAATGATTCATTCATTAAAAATGAAGGTAGAAAGCTTCCGCACTTGATATCCAGGTAACTCAAATGCTGCTGCTTGTAATCAGCAGTTTACATTACCAAGTGCCACCTGAATAACCCTGCTGCATTATCAGTGGGGCTTATACTTCTGTCAAATCTCAACTCAGACATGTCTTGCAATTAAATCTGAATTTTGATGATTGGGACTCTTTAAAATACGAAATGGATTATCTGAATGCTGTCAGCAGTTGTAACAATCTAAGTCCTTTTTTAAACTTCATCACAAGTACTGCAAAAACATAGAAGAAAAATCAGCTGTTCTCGGTGGACATAATGACACTTATATTTTTCTTACAGATCTTATTTCAGTGTCAATGGAGTATGCAGAACCAAATTTTTATTAAAATTTATCCTTGGCATCATTTATGCTCACAACTTTGTGATCATTATGCTCTTCTGCTCCTGTTCCTGCTTCTTTATCTGACCTTTCTACCAATTTGTGCTCTGGAAACTTTGACTCTTCCGTAGCCTGATTTTTCTGCTCTGGGTAGTGGGTGTACTGATCCTTTGCACACAGCCCGATGCTTATTAGATTTGTCCATCTATTTGTTCCTTAAAAACGTAGATTTCTGTGGTGTTCATGAGCTTTAGAAATTGCAAGAAGGTAGTATCTTTGCTGCAGGGCTCAGCGTCATTCAGCAGCATATGCTGTGCAGAATGATAGAGTTATTTTTAACTGTCCAGTGTTAGCCGGTTCAGAATGAAATCATGTAAATTTTATTTGGATACACCACAAACATATTAATAATGATCATAAAATGATTTTCCATTCATACAAGATTTAAATTACCCAGAGAAGCCTTTCTTTACTGTAGGTGTTCATCAGCCTGCAGGAGAATAAATACATTTCTTGCATCATAAAGTAGTACTAGTTGCTGTAACTACATAAAAATAATCTTGCTCACTTTATGAACACATCAAAACTCCCGTTTGGTCTTCAGGCTCTGTTGCACAGTTTGACTACAAAGCCACTTCAGAACATCCCTCTGCCATGACAGGGGGAACTGAAGGCACAGCAGGATGTCAGGGCTTTTCTGGGTCTTACCGCCTGCCAGATGAGGATTTTCCCACTGTGAAGGCATCAGCTGACTTGGTCGTCTCAGCATCTCGGTTCTGATGCTCACATCCTGGAGCTGGCATGCAGGCAATGGGACCAACTGTGAGTTTCTGGGTGCCTGCAAGCGCCTGTCTTACGTGGGGCGTACAACACAACATGGGTTTGGACGGTGTCAAAATTAACTGTGTTGCTGTCTCTGTGCCCCCCACCTGGGACTGGATTTAGGTCTGAAATAATTTCCTTAAAAATTGTCAAATGTGTTGCTCTACTGAGAGCTCTTTTTGCTAATTGGGTTGATCTGTGTGATGAGAACCTGCTCTTTATTCGTAACAGCTTGGTGACCCATTGCTAAAGAGGAAACTGCATGTTGAAGACTAAAGAAACACATGGTGAAATAATCCAGGGGACTTCACTCCTTATGTTTAATGTCACTTTATTAACGAATGAGCCTATTTACATTTTTTTAAAGGTTGCTTGGCATTGGTTTGTAGGAGGTAAGTGCAGGAGGTCTCGACTGCGAAGGGGAAGGGGCGAAGAGGGGAGAGTGCGAGATCAGCAGCATGTATGCGCAACTGTGCTAATGCTTCCTTCTGTGGTGACTGCCAGACTTGTACCTCTGAAATGTAGTACTTGTGCAGAGGATATCAGGTTTTGCTTTGGTAGCTTTGCAGATACGAGAACACAGAGCTCCAGACTTGTCTCCCCCTAAAACTCAGGAGGATTTTCAGTGCAAGATGGTGCTCGTGGCCTCAGCCTTGTTCCCTCCACATCCAAGTGCTTTCCTGTGGCATGCTCTGAACACACCCATGGGATTGCTCACTGCTTTGGGCACTCCGAAACCTGCTGTTGCTTGGGTTCAATAGCAGTTACTATTCTAAAGTAACGCTTCACAGATTTTCAAAAAAAGAGCGTTTTGGAATTGTTTCAACTAAGCCGTAACCCCAGTCTAGTTAATAGGCCTTTCCCTGCCTGTGATTAATCTTGGCAAATATTGGGCTCTGTTGCTGCAGAACAGGTCGAGCAATCTGGCGTGCTGCAGGAGGCAGAACTGGTTCTGCTTCGACATGTACCAGCGAACAAACCCTACTGTGAGTTCTGGGGGGAAAGCAGTCGCTCACGTAACCGGCTTCTCTGTTGTTTTGCTTGCCCGAGACGTGGATGCATTTCAGTCTGGGATAGTGCGCCGTCTCCCATTTTCCTTCATAATCAGGCCCATGAACTTGGTGAATATAAATTTCATCCTTCCTTCCAGGAGTCTGTTCTGTAATTATGATAATTTTTATCCACTTAAGCAAAAAGTGAATTAGAACTTTTTTCTAAATTAGCATGGGGGGGCAAGGAAGTAAGCCTTTAAAAAAAGGCAGAATGATATTTAATACACTTAAAATGTATTAGTGGGGGGAAAATACAGATTATGGCAAACTTTCTTTTTGACTACATTAGAATATTTTAGGCTGTTAGCTATCATGTTTTCCCAAATGCCTTTTCCCCTTGGTACAAACAGAATAGAGTGGCACCAAAATAACAGAAAGACTGTGTTATGTTGAGCAAGTTTGTGTGTTTAGAAAGGTCTGAGCACTTCTGAACTGATGAATTTATTGCTTCAGCTCCCTGGGGTTGGATGCACTCTGGATTTATCTGCCACGCCAATTACACTGCTGCAGCTGCAGGGTATAGTTAAAGTGGTAGAGCCTCCTAGTGCTCGTGGAGGCTAGAGTAGACCCGTTCTCTTAGTGGTACAGCGAGAAAACGGGAATAAGGTTTCCTGATGAAACGTATAGTGCTGTAACGCTCCTTCTTGTAGTGACAGGCACCGTATTCTGTCACAGATTATAGTTGTTGTTAAGAAAAATGTGTCAGAAGGAAAACCTTAACTTTTATAGGCCTACACTGAGATTTTCTTGTGTAGATGTGTATGTATTCCAGCCTTTCTTTAGGAAGAAGAGAGAATCGTCCAAGTCACTTTGGTATGGGTGTTCTGTGCCTCGCCGTGGAGGGGTAAGATTGAGGCATTTTGCTGTCCCACAGCCTGGGCTGCTCCACCTTGGGGCAAAGAGAGGGAAAGCCTTGCCTCTGCCTTTGCTCCTCGGAGGTCTGAGACAGCTATTTTGGCAGCAGGGGGCTTAGAATAATAGACTAACACCTTTCTTGCAACCAAACTCTCACTGAGGGTAGATCTAAAATAATAATGTGTTATAATCTTGGGTCCATGGCTTCACATACTAAAGTGATGTGCTGCACACAGCCTCCATGCTTCCCTAGGCAAACAAAGCAAATGCGGAGACTCTAAGCCAGAAATGTCATTATACAAACAAATGACTTTTCGTAACATAGTTTTGTTTTAAACAAAAGGAAGTAGAATTGGAGCTGTCAGGAGTAACAGGTGGAGAAGTCACCCTCCAGAGCATCAGAAAGAGTATTAGTCCCACTCAAAGAGATTTAAGAAATTATTTTCACTAATATCAGAAACAAATACCACAGATTTGGAGCCCCTGTTCTGACCCCCTATCAGTCTGTCAAACCAACTGCAAGACAACAGGGCCACATAGTCCCAAATCACAGAGCAGACAACCAGGAAAGAGACTAGCTCCTGCCCTTTGCACCAGAGTAGGTGCACCATTAACAAATGAGATGGTTTCAAGTCATCTTTTTCCTTGTAGTTTTTGGTGTTCTGTTCCTCACCCTGTCCGTCCCCCCCCGCCCCTTTAATTGCAGTACATTTTCAGTCTTAAATTTCTTTTCTTTGTTTGTTTGTTAAATCAGGAATTCAGTCAAAACTGTTTCTGATTCTTTCCATTGAGTAAAAATGTGAGTGGAAGACAGGAATGGAGACTGTTGCACTGATTTCTCAAAGATAGCTGCTTGAGGTGGGCACCTCTGCATTTGAGGGAAATAGTAAAGGGACAGGAAAAATGAGGCCAGCACTAGAAGGAAAAGGTTTTTATTAGCTTCTGATATTTCAACCTTACCTACTTAAGCTGCAGCTAGAACCAAAAAACATATCTTTGTAAAAAGACTACCATAATCCAAAACAATCCATAAAAGTTTTCCACATGTATTAGAAGTTTAAATTCAAAAAGAACTTTTCAAGGTTTCAGTTTCTAACAGCATCTTCATAGAGATAATATCCAAGTTCTCTTCCTAAGTACAGATACAAGGCAAACAAGCATCCTACAAAATAATCTATGGAAAAAGGTAGTGTAGGAGGGAAATTAAGACAATGTAATAAGCCACTAGCCAGACACACAGGTTAAATGTAACACAACCATACCATCAATGAAATATTTAAAAATGAAAATAAATTAAGGTTACATCAAAGTTCCTGCTTTACTTTTATTGTTTAAATCCTCAATATAGTACATACCACTGCATTATGGATCATGGCAAAAAGTTAGCACTAGCATTAAAAAAGTTGCTATAGAAAAACTTTTATGAAAATAAAACAAGATTGAAGATACTCCTTCACAGAACTGTATGATGGCTATAGAAATTCCACTGAATTAGTTTTTCAAACTAGGGCCATTTATTTTTAAAATCATTGTAAATTTCTGTAAGTTCTTGGTTGCATATCTGAACAGCCATGAAAATGGAGATGAATGTCAACAGTGATCCATACATTCTGGATGAACAGATGCTGTCTTACCCCTTTCATTGCTTAGCCAAGCTGCACATCTTGTTCTCCCTGACACCTGCACCCCAGCAAGGATGCAGTTTTGCAGAGCACAGTTTTTGGTAGCATTTCGACATTTTCTGAAAACCAAAATCTTGTTCTCATAAGGCCCCAGTCACTATGTGAGTGATGTGAACACAGGCTTAAAAGGCTTTGTCAGTGTGCTGCTTTACCTCTTGTACATGATGCTTCAGACTCATTTGCCAGTTGGAAGCCATCATAGTATATTGCTATTTTTCTAGAAAACATCACTAGGCACCCCAGCTCACTATTACTACGCCCTTCCCATTAGCTATAACTGGACAGGAACAACCTAAGTGGTGCTTTATAGGACTTGCTCTACAGATTTAAAGTAGTCCACCAAACAGGAAAGCAAACACCCTGCATGGCCTTTGCAGTTTTGCAATATGTAATGGAGAAAACAAAGGGCTTAAATACACTAAAAGGTATTTAAAAGACACTTTATCCAATTATGAGTTTCTGATACTACAGTGAACCATCCTACTGGACTCCTCCCATTATGCAAACCATAAGAAGGTAAGTGAACATTTCTGTGAAAATGCTATTTCCCTAATACTAAGCTTCTTGTTGACTATGAATTTAGATCAGCATTTATTAGATAAACTTTTAGAGGAGAAAAATATTTAAAACAAATACCCTAAGCAGTTTCTGGTTTAATTGTATTAAATCTTCAGTGTTAAACCTAAAAAGAAGAAAATCTCCACAAAATGATGGTTAAAAGAAGAAAATCTCCACAAAATAATGGCTAAAAGAACAGAGTTGTTACTGCATGGTGTTGCAGACAAGCTGCACCTTGAGAGTTCATTTCATAAGGTTGCAACAGTGTCTACTGTCCATTGTTTTCTGGATTTGCTGTGGTGGTTTCAGTGCCAACAGGTTGCACATTGTCTGCAAGATTGTGCGCATGCTCGAGGAACAAGTCTTTCAGTACGCTCAGCTCCTTGGTCAAGAGCTTAATTTTTGCCTCTAAACGTTCGTTTTCTTCTTTGAGCTGGTTGACCCTTTGCAGCGTGTCTTGTGCTTTCTGCTTGCTTTTTAACCGGCTCTTTTTCACTGCCATGTTGTTTCGCTCTCTGCGCTGACGATACTCATCACTGTTTCTATCCACAAAGGAATTTTTCTTTCCCTGTTTGCTCGGTGGCACGGCTTTGCCTCCGCCACCAGGACTAACGGGCACCAGCTGGGGAACCTGCTGCAAACCACTGGTGTGTGCTTGGGTGTGAATCACGCTTACTCCGTTCGCATCTGTAGCGGTGTTCTGTTGGGATGTCTTGCTCATTTGGACAGGCTCTTCTTGGACACAACACAATTTATTAGGAGACTGAAAACTGTTATGTTTCTGGAAGGTGTTTCCAACAGGTCTTCACATGGATTAAGGGCAAGGTGAACCTAGTAGGAAAAAAAAAATGCTATTAAAGGTGCTGGCTTCAGCTACAATCTTATACATCCATGGCTTTAGCATAAGGTACTGATGGTACAACTGGCAATAACACATCACAACTGTGCTGGAAGGGGACAAGCTGCCAACTACATTTCAGAAGCCTCTCGAACGTATTTGGATTGGAAGGGACTGTTAGTGGGTCATCTAGTCAAGCTGTTTGCATTGTTCACTGGCTTTACTCAGTTATTCCAAAGCCATCCCTGATGGATGGGTGTCTAGCCTAGCCTCGAATATCTCCAGTTTCACAACCTCTGTCTTGGCAACAGGTTCCACTGTCTAACTTTTCCTCCAGTTATATAATTTTCTTCATTTTCAGACTGGAGTTTTCCTTCTGCGGCTTAAACCTATTAACAGCCTGACTCTTGACCAACAGGAGTACTTGATCCTTGTCCTCTTCAGACCATCCCTCTGGGTGTATGCACAAATTCCTCCTTGGTCTCTTTTCTTTGGAGTGAGGGTGCTCAGACTGTCCACCTTTCCTCAATCATCTTAAAGCACTTGCTTTTGAAGATGACGTCCAAACTGATGACTGTTTTAAGGTCTCACTAGTACTGAGTGGAACAAAATAATCTATGGAAAAAGGTAGTGTACTGCGAAGGGTGTGACTGAGTGACATTAAAGGAACCCCTTCAACCACAAGCAAGGTAAGACAAGCTAAGCCTGTAGCGGTATTGTAACGAGCAGGTGGGACAGGAACGCAGGGCAATGGCAATGTGAGAATCACTACATGGCAAAGACAGGGGACTGTTGCCACTCATAGGAAGACCGCAGCCACAGCTGACTCATCCACAAAATATGCTCCCCTGCTGTACCTCCTGCACCAGTCATTGTCCACTCTCCTCTCCATCAGACAAACAGGCCTGATGAGCAGGACACCCTCTCACCTGACTCACGTTCTCCCGCTGCTGAGGTCAGCCTGCTCCTGACCCTACTGGTGGCACAAGGAGGATTCCACCACAGCTGCTGCAGGGACACGGCCCTGGCAAGGCTAACAGCTGCTCCCCTTCTCTTCCCATCTCACAGGATGACCTCCTAAATGTCTGGGAGAGAAGTTTGGGAGAGAAGAGGGGAAGGGCAACAGGGTTGTTCTAAGTTCCTGAAATGCCTACCTATGGCTCCAATGAAAAGTTCTCAGTGATGAGTCAAACAAGTGTTGATTTCTTGTCACGTTAAAGAAAAGTATCTAACTGGCATAAAACAATCCTACTCCAAGATCAGACTGCATTGCAAAGATGCAGCCCCATGCTCTGTCACACACATACATGCAGTATTGTACGACTAGTGTTGAACGCCCTCCTTGCCCATCCTCAAGAGGACCCGCTGGGAAAGCAAGCAGTTGAGGTTAGCAGTGGGCAATGCTAACCGCCCAGTATTGGCAGTGCCAACCCAGGGATTATGGCTTGCATCAGTAACAGCACAGGAGATGGATGACTGTACTCCTGATGAATAGATGTGGTGAGATGTACGAGCTGCTGTGTGTCACTGGTCATTCTAAACTCAGGGGTTCATCAGCTGTTTACTGTTCTTGTTTGTTTGTTTTTCCCAGCAGTCTGAGTTGCTGTTTTACCTTCTGCTAGGGTATCATTAAAAAGGTTAAAATTCTACTGTCTAGATCAATTGCAAATTTTCTTCCATAATGAGGGAGCCAGAACAAGATGCAGCTGCAGAGTGTGGTTCAGTAAAATTCACAGAAAAGCCTATTAAGTTCGGCTTGAATGTTATTCGAAATTAACATTCTCTGTCACCAAGAAGTCTTATCACTTAAACCAAGTGAAGATGTGTGAGTACACCTACACCCCTCCTACCAAGAAATCTTTTCATTTCTGTATTTCAGGGCAGAAAAAGACCATCAACTCTTTTGACATCTGTATAGTTAAATCTATATACATACATGCCTAACTTTTGTATTTAGTATTTTCCTAATTTCAACTCTTAAAGCAACTTTTGCAAACCACATTTACGTCTTAGATTCTGACTGAATAAGCAATTT